ACTACTACTACTACTAGTAGGTGTCGCAGCAATGTCGAAAGCGCATGTCATGCCACGACCTTCCCCAACCTCGCGAAACACATGTCACTGCAGAGTCAACTAGACACAAGCCACAGCTGAGTCCTCGCCAGCTTGTAGCTGTACCTGAGAAAGTGCCCGTTGCTTATCCACATTAGATTCGATTGCGGCTCGGAATCACAGAAGACGTTTTTGTTCTCATTAAATGCGATTCAGACTGAAACTTTGTTGAGGAGTCTTTAGCTTCCCACTCCTGCGACAGTCTGAAGAACCTATCAACACCTTCAGCTGCATAATCCGAACAGAGATATGCACTGGAACGAGGGCTGCTTCTCCTTGTTCTCCGCGATCAACCCTTTTACCCAAGCATTGATCCAAATTCCCTACAGCTCATAACTCCTTGCCGCCAGCGACATCCCTGATACCAGACAGATCATGGAGCTTCCATGATAGCCGGAAGTGAAGATAACGTCTTGCCGTTGAGCAACTACCTGGCAAATTCTGCAAGTAATGACGAATCTTAACTCAACCAAAGGCATGCAAATGCAGTATCCCCAGCAAAGGCGTGGCAACAGCATCTGTCTTCCTCTGTTCCGAGGCTGGGGGCTAGGCAAATGGAAGCAATGGCAAAAACAACACTGACACATGATGAACTAAGGATTATGCGTGTGAAGACCCCAAATGGCTGAGTCCTCATTTCCTTGCAACGCTTCCTTGCGAGAATCAACACTTGACGTCAACTACCAGAAGTCCGGTCATGGCTCCTCTCGCTCCACGAAACTAGCTGTTGTCCAATTACCCTCGTTGCATGCAAACCTTAGTGCGACCCGTTCAATAAGGCCTGCACAATCCCCAAAAAGCGCAGCATTCTGGTGGCCGTGCCGGGGTAGACCCCAACGTTGATAGGCCACCAAAAACTGTAAGCGCTGTTTAAACTCCATCACTCAGGACCACTGCAAGAACTCTCCAGGAACGCTTCAAGAGCCCTATTGCATTCCCCGCCGTTCTCTCGTCACACCTTGCGGCCCTGTTCGTTCAGTTCTTGTCCGCTGTTTCAACCGCTCCCAGTCCGTTTACACCTTGGGTTCGCAAAATGGAAGTTCAGACTTGCAACGCTACTGGGACTTCGTTCGGAAGCATAGGAATTGCAAATGCTGGCAGCACACAAAACTGGACGGATACAACATCCGGTGATCCGTCGGCATCTTGTGAGTCGTGTCGCGGCTTTGCGCTACAAAGGTATTGGGATGTTCTACTTCTCTGTTTTTGTTGTCAACAACAGTCTTGATATCATTAAATGCCATTTCATGCCTGAGCATCCGGAGGGGTTCCATGAACAAAGGTGTTCTTTGTCCATTCTCCTACTTTACCTGAGTTGGCCGGCGAGCCCAGACATTCAACGATAAGAACACGTCTTCCCCTGTTGTGTTTCTGCTCCCTGCTGTTCCATTATGTTCCATTTCACTCTGATCCGTCCCTTCCAGTTCTCTGTCTGGCGTGTGGTTTTTTGTACCTCTCCAGGCATAAGCTCTTCATCTGAGATGTTGTTATAGTTGGGGCGCGGGTGTTCTGTCGCTGCATGCTCTCGAGGATGGACGCGATGGCTATTGCTGCGTGACCATGGATGCTTTGGTCATCACACGACGTTATTCTTCTTTGCTCTGGTCACCATGTGCATGTGCTTTCTGGTGGTGGGCAGTATAAAAATTCTTGTCATGGATGCTTGACAAGCGCACTTCGAGGGAAAGAGGTTATCCTGGTTTGGGCGTGGATGCTCTATGGGGTTATCATGGCTTTTGGTCATCGGTAATAGTTACTTCTGATGGCTCCGGGGCATGGATACTCTGCTGCGGCATGTACAGCACTGAACTGGGACAAAGACAATCTGAGTTCAAGTCAGATTGGAACTGAAGTACTGCATGCTTGAGGAGTGGATCCTTGTAGTAGTCCCAATAAAATCCATCATGGTAGTTACCATTTCTTTTCCATTCCTTCATTCCCAGCTAACCGAAGGTAAGTATAAAGTCGAGCCTTGAGATCATGTAAGAGCCAGTCCGAGGAACTCCAACATGACAAGAGAAAGAAGTGACTGAACCCGCCCCTGGTTTTGGAACCAGGTGTATGTTTACCCTAAACCCTAAACCCTCGCTCCTGAAATTCATCCTGCTTCTGGAGGGAGAGGGTCATTCCTACACTACACCAAACAAAGGCTAATGGCGAATGAGGGAAAGGGACGACATAGCACCGTTTGAGGCAAGAAACCATAGGAAATCTAACCCTCCTCCAGAGCCTGAAAAAGCCATAGGAAATTAGAGAATCCGGTAGGCAATCTGCATAAACTCCAAAAGAACATTCAAAAAAAAACACGGAAACCGTCACGAAAGCCACGGAAACACTTGGGAAACCAGTAGGAAACCCTCAGAAAACCCATGGAGCCTAGGAAACACTGGGAACCTGAATAAAGTGACACAGTTCACCCTTTGGGAATGAACATACAGGAGGTTAAGCAAGGTGGATGGTGGCAAGCTCTCCGGGCCCCTAAACCCTGGACCCTATAGTCACCCTTAAGTAGATAGAATATGGAACTGACCAACATTAGAAACAACATGGCAATAATACTTCCTTATAGAATCCCCTATATCGCCCCCTTTAAGGAGTCTAGGTAATGGCTCATATACCCCATATTCTATCTATTCAAGAGGGACCCTAAACCCTGAAGTTTGCTAAGTGTGGAATTCCGCTGCTGACGCTTCTGGAGAGGGAAAGCTGCAGAATGTCTCTCGTAAGAATTGCAGGTTTCCCAAAGTCATATAGGGTTAAATAAGTGCTATATGAGGGGTTACATAGGGGTTATGGGGATTCTATAGGGTTTTGGGTTTAGAGGGTTTCCCTAAATTAGTCGGCATGTTGGGGCCCCCCTACTGTGGGAAATTCCGAATCAAAAGTTGTTCAAAACCAATGCGCATTTAATAATAGTAGAATAATAGTAGTAATAATATTCGTAATAATAATAAAATCATAGTAATAACACCCGCCGGAGGCGGTATGCCGCGCGCCAATGTCAGCGACTTCTGAGCTTCAGTGGGTGCGGAACCCGCTTCGGAAACCGGCTGCGGAAAAAGCGCTGAAACCGTTTCGGAACCCGCTCCAGGGCCCGCAAAACCCAAGGGCTAAAGTCCCCATCGCTTCGCAACTGGGAAACAAAAATCCAGAAACTCCGCTCTACACTGATAATAATAATAGCAATAATACTAGTAATAGTAATTATAATAGTAATTATAATAGTAATAATAATAGTAATAGTAATAGTAATAATAATAATAGTAATATTAATAATAATAATAATAATCATAGTAATAGTGGCCCCCCAGCCCCCATCCTGTTCTTGCTGATGCCTGCCATTGCAAATCTCCTCTGGCCTGCGGGCCTCCCTGTGTGCGATTCTAGTTCTGCTTCCTCCTAGGCTGTTCGCCACGTTCTGTTCCGTTCCTCACTGCGCTCCGTTTTTCTCACAGAAGGCATTTTGCAGCTGCAGCTCTCAAGATAGAAGCCCAACACTAGGGCAGCTAAAACTAGCAGAGCATGGATCCACACGGCTCCGCGCAATGACACTTGCAGAGCACCCACATGACCCTGCCTCAGTGAGCCCCTCTGTGCATATGTGGCGAAAGCAAGGACGAAAGCGCTCCTGGACATAAACAATATCTGCCAATGAATCAAGCCCACAGCTTGAATTTAAAGATCCGTTCAGCCCCCTAACTCCAAATATCTCTAGACTAACAGTATCCTGAACAAAAAACACTCTATTGAATGGCCTACTATGGTGATGCTGACACTGTTCAAGACCATATAATAACTTCCATCCCTACAAACTATAGGCCACAATATTCCATTGATTCTTCGTTGTTGGGGGAATGTGAAAACCAAACTACCCTGAAACCCTACACCCTATGAGAACCAGGCCGTCCTGGAAGGCTGCCATAAAGGAACTTTTGGAAAGAAAAGGGCCACGGGACTCTTCATACAGATCTGTCTGCAAATTCTTCGGCATCTTCGCAAACAGATTCAGCTCCTCAAGACTGCTTGTTGGAACAACTAAATCAATTAGACAACATCTGACTGTTGGCAAGAGCTGGCTGGACTCAGTCCTCCTGCAGTTTGCTCTCCAACCATGACTGCTGGTAACAGGAAATCACAAACTTCTTCATACGAACAGAGAGGTCGGTAGAAATGGCATGTGTCTCCAAGAAATGGTTGCAGACATCTTGCAAGTTGTTCAAGTTGGAGTCCACGTACTGCTGCACCAGGAAGGCTATTCGCGCTAGGAAAATGGAGGTGCCAACGAAGCCTATCAAGCGAGCTAGCGCAGCAATGACTTGATCCGTTTGTGATTCGAGCACATCAATTTCACACCAGAGAAGGAAGTCCAAAGCCCAGTGGATTGCAATCAAGTAGGCATGGGTTGTATCAGCTAACTCACCAATAGCAACTCCATACTGAGCAAAGAGGTCTCTCCCCTGGGAGGTCGACGTCCTCAAAAACAGCCAAATACATGCGAGAATATGCAGGCCAGCAAGGTATGCCAAACACGTCTTGAACATGGAGATGTTGACGGCAAGAACCTGTGCCAGCACAAGCGTCAGCACAAGCATCAGCAAACCTATGGCTAGGTTAACAGGGGGTGCAACATCCTAGGAGGCAGTCTCCAAGCCAGCTATCTCTGATGCAATGGTTCTTGCTGATTTGCACAGGCTGGCGCAGAACCCTTAAACTGAGAAAATTCTGGATGCCTTGGCTCGCTCGAACAAAATCTCATTCAGCATCGAATGCAGCTTCTTGAAGCGCAGCATCTTGACTAGACGGAAGAAACGGAAGCTGCGCAACAAAGAGACTGTTGAAGGGCTGATGTCCTGCGTAATGACTGCAACGTACTCCACAATCACCACGCTGAGATCAAGAAGAAGCCACGACTTCGCATACTCGCATGCTATAGTTTGGGAGTCCATGTGCAACCGCCCTTCCACGTAGACCCCCGTGCGGAAGCTAAGCACAATGTCGAGCGTCCAAATGAACATCAGGCACCAGGCAAGTAGTGGACGGTTGTAAATGGAAATCTCGCTTGATAGCTCAAGTGGAACCGTTATAAACTCAAACGTCCATGCCAAGAAAGTCAACAATGTCCATGCCTGAGCAGGTGGAGAACATATCTTCTGGCTTGGGCGCTACCACTTCATCCAAGGCACCAGTCGCGCATTCGAGTGTGGATGCATGCTGCATGCGCCTGCGGCAACACTCCACAACGCCTATAACATGCCTTGTGGCTTGGCTTGGGCACAAATTAAATCTGAGACATCAAAGTGCCTTCTCGGGCAGGGCCGGGTTCATAATCTATTGATGCCGAAGCCAGAGATCTCGATGCTCGCATGTTGTCCCCATCATATTCGCGAAGCTCTCGAGGTGTCAGCGTGCTCGAGGCAGTATTATTCCAACGTGGGTGAAGATTGAACCTCAGCCAATACCCTCTTTTGCTGGAGCACCCAAACACGAAGCACCCAATTTCAAAATTTCCTCGACTTCCCGAAATAACTACTTTCAAAGTGGAATGCTCAACAAAAATTGTGTCTCTCAGGATTTCCGTTTCAGGCAGTTGATCATTCCCCACCGCTCGCACCAACCCATCATTATCCCAATTTTGTTCCTTCTCTCTTGTTTTGTTTGTCTCTTGTGCGGATCCTTCTCCCAAGCTTGCACCTTGCACATTCACAGAACCAACCAAATCAATACCACATCCACGAAGCAGAATTCCCAAATCCACAAGCAAAATATGTCAGCTGAAAGTGGCGCAACACATCATGTTAACGTACGTGAAGGCCAAAAAAACTCAACCTCTGTCAATGACTTCAATACGGTTTGTCGTGGCTTCTCCCTTGGGTGGTCCTAATGACACGAAGGGGCTCAGGGTGTGAAGAGGCTGAGCCAAGCTGCATAGGAACATCGTTATCCATCAGCAGCCGAGTTGTTATGTCAGCCCAGTTGAGAACCGCCGTGTTCGCTGTGGCTTCTGACAAGGTCGTGATGCTGCCTGCGCTACGATCCATGAACGAAATCCCTCAAGCAAGCAAAAGAAACATCCAGGCGCACATTGTGAAACAGCGCTTGTGGTGGAGCTTGCCCGCAGCATACCAAGTCTACCAGCCGGCGGCAAAACCTGCATCCACATCCCAAATTTGCAATAGAAGCAGCAAAAGCAACTGATGTCAGCGACGCAGCGGCCTCATCTGAGCCTATTTCGCCCAATGCCTCGGCTCTTGTGTGCCCCAGCCGGCACAAAGCAGTAGCAATGACATCTATGCCCCTGGCAGCAACGGCGCGAAAACGGGATCGTCTGGAGGCCCGCGAACTCAAATAGCTTCCAATACTTCCTTCCCTGTCCACCGCAATTTCGGCACTGCACCGCGGCGGCTCTGGTTGCAAAGTTCCGTGCTCTGGGAGTGCATTGCGTGTCCTGAGCACAAATGACTTCCCTTGTTCATCTGCAACGCTACATGAGCTTGCACCTGGGCATTAAGGCCGCCACCATGGTCCATCCGATAAGGGAAAGGAATTTGTGAGCATTGATGGGCTGAGTTCATCCCTGGTCATCTTTTTGCTGCCTTGGAATGATCCCACACACTGTTCCATGTACACTACACCACACAATACAAATCCCTGCTCAAAGTACAGCACCTTCTCCATGCTCAGGCCGTGGCCCGCGGATGATCCAGACCCCACTAGCCAGCCGATATCACGCTCATGTGCACGAACAAGCTGCTCCTGACCAAACATGCACACCGAACCGCAACACCCCATCCGACCATTCTTTTCGAATGGACACGCGCTGCGAACTTAACAGGACTCCCCATGCTTCACATTGACATTCACTGGAAAGCGCGTGCCTAGAAGTGATTGAAGCATATGGCAAACAGAAGTTCCAACAACCATTAGGCCATCACCGCTCCAAGCCTTGAAATGGGTCAACAAGTTGTCCAACTGTTCATCGAAAGGCTTGCGACGGCGATCTTCAGCGATACCTGCGCATGCAACACGAGTAATATAAGATGGTGGGCATTTTTTCGGACATTCGGACCTGAAGATTGGGTCGCTCGCCTCATTCTGCGACCATGGGTTGATGAATCCTTACCTGCTGCTCTTGCACACTAGCTGTTGCGTGGCGCATGCGCATCTGCGGATTGGTTCCTGGCTGACACAATTTAGATGTAGACGATTTGTTTTGTCCAATCCTAGCGCAGCTTGGGAGTAGAAACACAACCCGAGCACAGACGCATATCAACATGCCGACACAACCAACACACAGAGCCCATGTCTTCTTAATCCTCTCCCCTTGGTAACAATCATCCCCACCCCTCAGAAGTAATGCCCGGATTGTTTAACGGGGGGGTTATCCGCCCTTCTCGATACGCTACCCAATTTACCAAACCCCCCTTTGAAATTGAACGCTGTGTCAAAGTGCCTTATTCTATAGATCTCTTGTACAACTACATGTTCATACCATTTCATATGAAGAATCTTAAGGACATCGCGGCTTGCAATGAACAAGGGGAGCAAAAAACCCATAAATTGCAACTCGATGTAATCGGAAAACCAACATTGAACTTGTACGAAAAACCCTTTGTCCTGAAAATCTCCCATGTTTTTCCGATCATTGGAAAGGGTCTTCCTCATGTTTCTTCGCAGTACAAAATCCCCCCGTGCAAAGCTCAGAGGCAATAACTCGGGAAGCAATTCCTTTTGCTTTTGTTAGATGGACCTTTTTTTTGCACGCATTTTTCCGGCTGCAGCGGTGTCCCTTGTTGGTGGTTAACGACGAGCAGGTGTGGCTAGCCAACTCAGCACGGGAGGGGGCTGTCGGTAGCGGCCCCCTGCCCGCCAAGGGGTCGCCCAACGGGACCTCCTGGCCATCCAGGGGGTCGGTGGGCAATGCGGCCACAGGCAGCTCCAGCAACGAGAACGCGTGTGCAAGCAGCACTGCCAGCGAGGCGAAGGCTGTCCAACGAGGCGAAGGCTGCCCATCGCCGCACAAACACCTGCTGAGCCCCCGCGATGTGCCACGGTGCCCTCTGGCACACCTTAGCTCCCCAGCAGTCGGAAGAACGTCAGCGTGCTGAGGTTGATGCGTCCCCCCAGCTCAACACCGAACACGACAGGCTTGCTGTTCTGGCTCGTTGGAGCTACGTCTGGTGTTTCTGGTCGAAGGCGCTGTCGGCTCCAGGGCTGGCATTGGGGTCACGTCTGACTGGGCTGACAATCGTCGCGTCCACCGCGACTTAGGTGTTTATTGCCTAAGGGGCAAACGCGGCGCTTGAAGCCAAGCGGCAGCGGAAGCCGCAGCCTGCGGAACAACACAGCCCGTACCCCACATCAAGCACAGCCGTGTCCAGGGTGGAGGGGATAGCTGTGAAAGCGCAGCTCGCCGCCACTTTGTGACAGCAGCAGCGCTCGAGACGCAGAGACAAGGTCTGCTAAAACCGTGTCCAGCGCGATGCGTGTAGGGAAGCTTCCACCGCGAGTTGCCACCCGTTCGCGCTTAGCACCGCCCCGCTACCGAAAGCGATGCCAGGACCACCGTCCTCAGCGTTGACGGGGTGGGTGCATACGACCCACATTTCCAGGCAAAGCATGCTGTCGGCACTGGCCGTTCGCCCCTGGCCGGCATCCTGCACTTTGCATAAATATTTTACTGCTCCCACAGTACCCTGTTCTACGACGAGTGGGGGATAGCGCACGAGGTTCGGCAAGGCGAGGGGGCGGAGCAAGGTGACCCCTTCATGCCCTGCCTGTTTGCTTCAGGGCAGCACAAATCGTTGCAACACGCGCGCCGCCATCTTCACCCTTCTGACGTTGTACGCCTTTTTAGCTGACATTCATGTGGGGGCACCCTGGATCGCGCCTGGCACTTGCGCCATCGCCGGCCGGCGCGCAGCCCCTGGAACTGGGAAAAACTAAGCGCAAGGTTCATCATGCAACCTGATGGCCCGGGCGCGGCCCTTTTCTGGGATGAGGCGGTCTGCGCTGAGCTCGAGCCCCCGGCCTAACCTAGATCAGGGGTCAATGGGAATTTGAAGCTCAGGAGGCCGCCGGGGTGGGCCGTGCAACTGTCTGAGGATGTCCTGGTTTGTGGCAGCAAGGGAAGGGGGGTGAGCGCCTTGGCTCGCCGAGATGGGCGAGCGCGGCAGCACACCCAGCCCGTCACCGCACATCAGCCTCTACCTCGCCCTCAGTCCGATGCTGTGCCCCCTGCGCTCCGCGCAGGCGCAAGACCAAAGGGTCCGTTAAAGCGGCCCCCGCAGCTTCTTGCAACAGATCGCGCCAAGTGCCTTTTTTGAAGGGCCCGTTCCCGTCGTCGAAGTTTTTCGGGCGGAACGTGTTTTTCGCCTTTCGGCGCTAGGAGAAACAATTCCATCCTTCGCCCACATCTTCGGTCGACGTCGCTCTCGGATGGTTGGTTCCGATCCGGGTCAACTTGGAACCAGCCGCAATAATTGTTGAGCAAATTCAACGCAGCCGAATGCACATGCAGATTTCTTACACACACATCAAACTCGTCGCATCGGCTACTTCTTGACCCGTACACATGGTTGTGGCAGTGGCTGGGCTCCTAATGGATTATTGACTGATCTTGGAATCCTGGAGCTTGCTATGAACGCTTCTCGCCCCCAAGTGCTTAAAATGGAATCGCAAAGAAATGGCGACATAACTTTTAAGCCCATTGGTTTTTTGGGGCATCTCGAGGCCCTCGGAGGCGCGCATGCGCCGGCAGATGCACGCCGCACTTTCCGTGTACCGGGCGGCTGCCCACGCACCCTTGGGGTGGCCAACCAACCGGCGTGGTCTACTGCAAGGAAGGCTCACAATGGTACCCAGAACTGACAGAATCCAGCTGGCATTTTTTTTTTTTTTCAACGGACCTTTTTGCCACCACGTTTTGCGAGCATTACTGTGACGTGTTCTTATGCAAGCCCCGTCGGGGAGATGCCGCCCGGCCGGGCAGCAAAAAAATATAGAATATATAAGCATCGTTACGGGGCAGAACATACCAGTTGGGGAGATGAATGAGAACCCATGATGTCCGAATATCACGCACATCTTTTTTTGCCTAAGCGGGGCAGGCTGTTGCGTTCGCGCGCCATTCCCATGTTGTTTGGGGAGAATCATGAACCACGGCCTCTGCAGAGCAAGTATACCACAATTCGCCGTCGATTCAGGTACGTTGACGCCATAATTTTTCCAACTGAATTGCAAGGCATGCATACAATGAACAATTACCATTAGTTTCCGAAAGTTGTTTGTCTTATTTCCAAACGGGCAACAGCACAGGCATTGGGATTCCACGGAGGCACAAAAATGGTTTGGAAAGCAACCTGACCATTTTTGTTTGTGTTTTCCCCACGTTCTCTGGGGTTCTAGTTTTTGATGCATAATCGCCCGCCACCCCTGCGTGCTCTTCCGTCGCGCAATCATTTTGGACCCGCCCCAAATCGCAAAAAACTCTTGCTCTCGTTCGGAGCATCCTCAAAAAAAAAAGTTGTTCAATGATGCGTTTCTATCTCAAAGCAGACTGCTTTCCCTTTAAAGTAGTCTTGTCACACGGGTCTGTAACCGATGTGGTCGCGCCCCGATTTTCAAAGATCGTGCTCCCGTGTGGGACATCCTCGAAATTCCAAATTTGCTCGGCAATGTCTTCCGGGGCGCCCCTTTCTAGGACATCGCCCAACGGAGGCTTTTGGCCACCCATGGACTCAGGCAGCTCTGCAGCTGGCAGTTCGAGCAAGGAGCACGCGTTTGCGCGCAACGCCGCGAGCGAGGCGAGGGTGGTCCATCTGGGGACCAACGTTTGTTGCGCCCCTGCCACGCACCACGGTGCTCGCTGCTGCGTTTGCGCCCGTGCCAAAAGCCGCAGGAACGTCAGCGTGCCTCGGCTGAAGCAGCACAGACATACGTACATACATACATACATACATACATACATACGTACGTACATACGTACGTACATACATACATACATACATACATACATACGTTTTCTTCAAGCAATATGCTTATTATGGGGATAGCTGGTTTTGTAACTCGGGCCAGGGGACCACATACTTTGATTCTGAAA